ACTCATTTCATTTGTTCTTTGTATTTCTTTCTTTCAAAAATATTTCTAAAAAGTTTACCTAAACAAATGGAGTGTATACTCTTTCCATACAAGACTACATATACCGTATTCCCTATACTTTTTCACCTTCATCTCGCATTTTTCTTCTTTCTTACAATCATTTCTTTCCTTAGAAAGTGTTTTTGTTCGTAGTGGCCCATTAGGCTAAAATGACAAGACGGCCCAACAAGAGTGGGAAGCATAATCAAACGTACTAGGCACGTGAAAAATAATGGATAACCATTCAAATTGAATAATTGTCGGCGATCACTTAAATATTCCGAAATTAAATCAATCAACATTTAATAACATTTATAGTTAAAAATAAGTAAAATCTCTTGATCAATTATAGCAAGATACAGTCTTCCTCAACACTTTTTAATTCCTCGATCGTGTGTTTAGATGAAAAAATTTAAGAAGATAATTCATTTTTTTTTTTTGAAAAATTTCAAATGTTTTAAGATGAAATATTTTATTTGGATGAGAAATTTTTTTTAAAAATTAAAATTTAATTATTTAATTTTTTTTTTTGAAATAGTAGAATTTCAAATTCTCTAAAAAAAAATGTAAGGATTTGAAATTCTTTATATATTTTTTTCCTTATCTTACTTATATATCTTTTATTTCTCTTTGTTAATAAAAACAATATTAATAATAATTATTTTTAATTGTTAAATATTTTAAAATTGACAACTGTTTATTTTATAAAGTTTAATTTAATATTTTGAATATATATTTATTTATTTAAAATCAGATTCTTCCTATCATATAAATTAAATTGTCTTATTTAAACTAAAAACTTAAAATTTTAAAAATTTGAATTGATGTGCCCAAAAAAAAAATATAATGAATAATGAATACTAAAATTAAAGTAATTTAAATTTTTAAAATTTTAAATTCTTTAAATTTCTTAGAATAATCCATCCATACACAACTCTCAACAGTTTTTAATTCGACTATTTTACTTTGCTAACGATTTTCCACTATTTGCGTAATGTAATTTAATTCAAGTAATTAATTAATTGGGTAAAATGTGTGAATTGTTATGAATTATTCTAATAAAAAAAAGTGTCAGTTATCAATCAATAACTATGATGTGTTATATTTAGCACACACAAGTTGAATTTTGAATACTTTGGAAATAAAAGCAAGCATTAGAATCATCTCAATGTAATGTGCCTGATTGAGGGTTTGATATAACAATCGAAATGGACATATTAATTGCTAGCAACAAAAGTTTGGAAAAGTTGGCATTTCATTCATCAATGGTTTTTCTCTTAGCATGCTTATAGTGTTGACAAATGAAGATGGCTAATTAGGGCTTTGCTTATTTTGACTGAAAATATAATTGGTCCAAAGGTTTGTGTCGCGTAGATTGTTTAAAGGTTTCATTTCTAAATGTTTTAGGTTTTAGTTATTTCATGGATCTCAATTTCTATATGGTCACTGTTTAATTTGATTGCCCTATCAACTTCATTGTCATTTCTCAATGACATAAAGTGAGCAAGTAAAGTTAGAGTCGCAATGTTAATGGAATTCTCTTCATAGGAAGCATTTTTTTAAAAGAAAAATTAAAAAAAAATTGAAATAAATGTGTTCTAAAGATTAGAAATGTTTTGTTGTATATAAGGAAATTTTTTTAAATAAAAGTTATGAAAACTTCAAATACCAGAGTAACAAGAAAAGAGAAAAAAAATGGTGCAAAGCAATTTCTTTTCTTTTTAGGTCCAATCCAAATGAAAGTTTAAAAATAATCATGTTATCTTAAACTCGTTTTCTTAAATAAAGTAAGATTGGTAATGAATTGAACCAACTAAAATTTAGTGCGAGATGCAATTTAATAATTAATTCATTAAAGTTATAAATTAATAAACAAAATAAACTAAACAATGCAAATCCTCTGCGTAACTTGCTTATCCTATAGATCGTTGAGTTTTATTGGGTTTTCGTTTTGACATGGGCCTTGCGAATGGAAGAGTTATATTGGGCTTCTGTTTTGGGAAGCCCAAACTACAAATGCTTGTACAGAAGGAAAAAGGAACCAGTGTAGTGAACTGAACAAATTTGAAAGTTGATGCAAAGTGCAGAGCCAGAGAGAGGTATAAGGTGTTATCAAATTTCTGACACTGGGGAAAGAGTCTCATAGTTCCAAACAACATGAGTTTTCTGTTCGGCGGTAGAAAGACTCCAGCTGGTACTTTTTCTGTTCATGTTTGCCAAAAAAATTTATTTATTATTTATTTATCAAATGGGTATGCGTTGATTGAATTAAACAATTTGTTTAGAGAGGGGAAAATTTTCATGGTTTGGTTTTTATTTGCCTTCCCAGTTTAGAAAAATAGTGTCTTTAACTTTGATTGGGAATTGGGTTGGTTTGTTATTTTTGGTAGAGCTTTTGAGGGAGAACAAAAGGATGCTGGACAAGTCCATTAGAGATTTAGAAAGGGAAAGACAAGGCTTGCAGAATCAAGAAAAGAAGTTGATTGTCGAGATTAAGAAGAACGCCAAACAAGGACAGATGGTATCTTTTATTTTATTTTTTGTGTGTTTTATTATTATTTGGCATTCTTGAGTTGTTTATCGATGAGATCAAGCTTGTTGCTTTGTAACTTGTAAGGATTGGGGTTTATTAGTAATGATACTAGTACACCCCACTTGTTGGGTGTATGGGTTGAAGGAAAGGAAGAGAGAGATGGAATAAGGAAAGAAAAACAGATACATTATGACAAATGATACGACGGAAAATGAAGAGACAGATTAAAAGAAAAATGGGGTGATAGTGGAATGGAAGAGAAAATGAGTATGGGCGTGTTTGGATAAGTTTTTCCAGAAGTTTTTCTGTAAGAGAAAAATAGAAAGGAAAATTAAAATAAGTTTTTCCATAAGCTTAAACTAGCTTATGCTTATGCATGTATTAAAAATAAGATTTTGGAGAAGTTAATTGGAGAGAACTTCTACAATTAGCTTATGAATAAGCTAATTTTAACTTATGGAGAAACTTTTTTCATTTTTCCTTTTATTTTACTCTTCTAAAAGTGCTTATGGAGAAGTTTATCTAAACAGGCTTCATATGTTTAACATTTTCCTTTATTTATTGTAGTGGCGGGGATGGTGTTAAGAATTGAGTGTATTTGATCATGTATACAATGATCTTGATTTTGGTTATGGTTTAAACGGTTTTTGGGGTTGGCTTGAATTTGGCAGGGGGCAGTGAGAGTGATGGCCAAGGATCTCATCAGAACTCGCCATCAGATTGAAAAGTTTTACAAGCTCAAATCCCAACTTCAGGGTGTTGCGTTGAGAATTCAGGTTTATTTTTGTGCATTTCAGTTTCTTGATGCTCAATCAGCTTCACGGATAATTTAAAGATTATGTGTTTAGCATTGCATTACTTTGGTGCATGTGCTTACCTTTGACATTCCAAGTTCAATGAGAAATAATAACAAACGAAGGATCACTGGTTATGTTGCACCTGCAGTTTTTCATTTTAATTATCAAATACTGAATTGGTGTTGTCATGGCAATAGTTTATTTTAGAGGGTATGTTGATGCAGTGGCATTTGAAAAAAAAAAAAAAAAAGACAAGAATAACCAGGCCATGGTTCAAACTATAGTAGTATGCATACTGCAGCAGTCTTGTTTTATGTCTTTTATTTTCATTTAATTCAACCTATATGAAGGGGTTTTGAAATCTGGAAGGTTTTCATCTATATTAATTGGAGATTTTATAGTTTGTATGAGTGATTGCAGTATAGCATTTAATAATGACTCACAGTCACTGGTCAATTTCAGACACTAAAATCCACTCAAGCAATGGGGGAGGCTATGAAAGGAGTTACTAAAGCAATGGGTCAAATGAATAGGCAGATGAAGTTGCCTTCCTTGCAGAGAATAATGCAAGAGTTTGAAAGGCAGAATGAGAAAATGGAACTGGTTTCTGAGGTAATGGGAGATGCAATTGATGATGCTTTGGAAGGTGATGAAGAAGAGGAAGAGACTGACGAGCTTGTGAATCAGGTTCTTGATGAGATCGGAATCGATATCAACTCTGAGGTAAGTTGGTATCATCTCATCAAAAAATAGCTAGTTTTTTAGATAAATATATTTTTTGTTCCCCCTAGCTGGAAAAAGAAGTAAAAATAACAATAACAACAATGATACATATTTCTTTTGCTTAATATGCAGCTTTTGAATACACCTGCATCAACCTCTGTCAGTGCACCAGCGGCAAAGAACAGGGTTGCTCAAGCTGAATCAACTGGCAACGAAGACAGTGGAATAGATGACGATCTACAGGCTAGGTTAGATAACCTGAGAAAAATGTGATGAGTAGGAAGAAATGTTCCTAACAAGCATGAAAATAATGATTGTATATGAAATTAGGATGTATTTGTCTGATTTTATTATCAGGTCCTAAGCTAACATATATGTGTAAAGAGTAATGCAGAATGTTATAAGTTGAATTTCATGAATTCATACACCAAAGTGATTTTTAGGATACATATCATCTTTTAAATTGTGGATCTCGTCTTTTAATTGACTACCCCCTCCCCTCTTCAACTTATCAAAAAATTGATTTTGCATTAATAATATAATTCATATGAATATCTTTGCGTTATATATAACTATTCAAACGTATACACTAAAGCTGAATACTTGGAGGATTTTTTGTTATATCAGTAAGTATCAAACTCGGTACTAAAAAGTTATAACAATTAACAACTCACAAACACTATTTAATTAACTGCGTTAAGTTAAGGGATTAGTTTTGTATAAATATTTTAACGCAAAACTAGTCTATGAATTGTTTACCACCTTATCATATTTAATGGGGATGACAAACTGATCCTAGAAGAAATAAAATAAATACCAGAACATAAATGAGCTCGTTGGAGGAAGTTTCACAGGACATATGTGAGGAAAAGAAGAAAAGTTTTGGTTTTGAAAGGTAATGATCAGATTCAGGAGTTCACAATGATCATGATCATCTGATCCTGATCATTTCCTTCCAATGACACTCTGTTATCTGGGGAAGTCACTTTATCAATCTGAGTGCGGCAGAGTGGGCATCCAGAATGAGAGCCAAGCCACTTGTCAATGCAAGAGGTATGGAAGATGTGCTTGCAAGTGTGAAGCTTACGGACACTGTCCTCCTCTTCAAAGGGTGTCAAGCAAATAACACACTCATTCTGGTTTATGTTACCTTCTGCAGCCTTGTACTGGAATGTAATTGAATGTGACTCTAAACTCATGCAAGGTGAGAACTTGTCATCAAAAGATGTTCCTGTTGTAGGAAGTGATGGCATGTGACTGGTACGAGTGCACCATCCAAGCATGGTGAGAGTGAAAAATGTGAAGGAAATTACCAGTGCTCCAATTATGAGAATCCCGGGGTAGAGACTCATAATGGGAAACATTAGCAGAAATGATGAAAGTGAAATGGATCTGTTGATGGATTGGAGTAGAGACGTGTGATGATATGTTATGGTTGAAAATAACTATGAGCACAACAACAACCAATTCGGTTTCAACAATGCTGGAACACATAAAAGACATATTTTTGGAATGACTGAGAGATGGATGTGGATAAAGTAGTTTTGTTGTTTCATGATGGGGGCACGGTTTCACATCATTTCAGGTATGAAAACATTTGATCTTTACAATGAAGTGACATATTCTCCTTATCTGCTCATGGAATTCTTCCAGCTATGAAGGATCTTGTGGCGGCTCCGGAGCAGGTAAATTTGAGAGTTCAAATGAATGTTTAGAAGGAAAGCTTATTGTTAAATTTTGCATCGTTAGATAATTTCATGTTTAATTTTAGTATTTAAAAACTATGAGTATGAGTACATGATGTAAAAATATTAAAGACTCTAGATTAAATATTTTAAGCAAAGGGACCTGTGATCAGAACTATGTACCTAGGTAGCTTCAAGGAAGACTGACATCCAAGGATTGTTGCATAGCAAAAGGCCAAAAGCATGAAACATACGAGGTAGGTGTACAAAACAAAGGTATGTTTATTTTGTAATTATAAAACTGTCACATTGGTTTCAATTATTTAGATCTTTCAATGTTTTCTGTACAAATATTTGAAATCAAGATAATTTGATCATAGAAAAGCAAAGTGATATGATAATTTCATGGACAGATTCTGATCCAAGTATGAATGTTATGATAATTTGATGAATTAAATTAAACATATACACAAGAGTTGGGTTTGAATTAAATTATTAATAGAAATAAAATAAATTTGAACTATAATCTATTTTTTTTAAAAGCTAAAGTTTTAGCTTTTCAATTAATTTTTGTATTTTATATTAAATTTGATTGTTCTGTTATTTTTAAAATATGCAAAAAAAGAATTGGATCAATCTATGATTAGATCAACAATCCTAATCACCATAGTGTTTGACTATATGTTAATAAGACTGTTATTTAAAGTGTTTTGAAAGAAAATATATTTAATGTGTGTTTGAAAAATCATTTGTACCTTGCATGAGTATAAACAAACATTCACTCTTTTTAAAAGATAAAAACAAGAAGTAACAATTTGTTACTTTTTTGTTGAAGGAATGTTTGGAGGATTTTAATGATAAACCAAACACACTATGTAGCAATTTGTCATTTCAAGGATTAATATATTTTACATTTTATTTTTGATGACTAAAATTTTAGAAGAAGGACAAATTCTACAACCTCACATTGATAATTGAGAATAGAGTTTGAACCTGTCTAGATACAAGTTAAAAAACAGTTTTAAAAACTTCTTTACTAAAAATAAAGAGTATTTTTCGGTAGAAAATCTTTTAAAAATATTTCTAAGCTTGTATCCAAACATGATGAAAAATACATGTTTTTGGTAGATCGATGATAGAATTAATTGGAAAAAAAATCATACTATATGTAATGCCCTACCATGGTCGTCACACTAGGTGGAATCATAACAACTAGTAACGAAAACTAACTTCCTAGAACATACAAGATTAAAAAAAGGAATATGTCATACATATATATAAAAAAAATGAATATAAATGTAGAACACCTTAACTAATATAAACAAGTTGTATACACATATACGGTAATCCCAAAGTAATCATATATCCTAGTGTTGGTCAAGCATAACTATATGGTTGCATCTGGTAACACCAACATCAACAAAACACACCACCTATCATTAACCTCTCCTCAAGCCTAGTCCTAATATGCTCTTATATAGTATATAATCATCATGGTCTAAACCAAAATGGAAAAAGAAGGGTAAACTAGTATTTGAAAACATTTAAGCACATAAACAATTCTATATCATACAACACCATACCATAATCATACATAGAAGCCAAACACTCCAAGAAAAATGTGTGTCTCATCCCAATCATGTCACACAAGACACCTAACAATGCATATGAACACACCATAACATATATCATATGCAAAAACATCATGTGTCATCACACATTCACCTACGAAGATCTCCTATCAATATAAGTAATTTAAGTGATTTTACCCTACTGAATCAACCAAATTGTTTTCGTATTCGAAGCATCGACTCGATCACAGCAAAATGGAATAACAATCCCTCCTCTAGTTTATCAGGTTTTGTCACTTACATTAGAAATGTCTCGTTTCATCATTAGAAATAATACAACTAGATATAGGTTTACCATGACCTTGACATGCATTACTCTAAATTTTATATGTTCTAATAATCTAGTTTCTATTATTAGTTGTAATGATTTAGTGTAGTGTAGTGACTATGACAAATTATTACATATAAAACTCAACTCTCGAAAAAAAACCTTATATATTTTTTCACTGATGAGAGTCAACTGAACTACTAACCAGAAGTCATTACAACTTACTCAATTCACCTAGTACAATGTTACACTATATACATGTGGAACAATTGTTTTATTTTACATTTTCAATAATATAAATAAAGATTTTCTAAGCCAATTTTGAAACGAAAATATTAATATTTTTCTTATAACTTTTAAACAAATTCAAATCTTCACACGTCTTTGTTTATTAACATGCTTGTGCGTGGTTAATTTGTATTTGCCATAGACAATGTATGTGCAGACAAATAATGTTACAATATTTTTGTTTGAGGCAACAGTAACAAATATAAAGTAGAGGTAGGCAAATCAAGCATTTTATCCACTAATTGTAAAATCTGTTATAAAATATGTAGAGCCCTCAAATTTAATTCTTGTTTTTATTAAAATAACGTTTCACAAAAAAAAAAATCAAAATGCAGATGAATCATAATTATCAGCTTAGTAGTTAACAGTTGCTAGATTCAACTTTCGGAAAATTGTCAAATTTTAAAAAGGCCAATAATGACTTAAGAGATTGGTATCCTCCCTAATGTATAGAAAATTAAAAAAAAACTGTAAAGCTTCTAACCCGCGTGGAAGACTTGTTTTAATGAAATTGTTTGGTCTTTATTTTTTAAGAATAAATGGTATATGTGTCGGTTGTCTATACCTAAAGTCTTGTATCGATATGTATGTTACTGTTAAAATAATTATTTTTAAAATTATTATATCAAAAACTATTTTAAAAACCATTTTAAATATATTTTCAATTTTTCAAATATGACATAAGTTTTACTTTTTCTTTACATTTAAAATTAAATTTTAAATTCTTATAATTTAAAAAGGCTTACACCAAACTTTGGGTCCCTCTGTTCAAAAATATCTTTAATAAGTTTATTAAACTATTTTAATAAAACAAAAGCCCCAAGTCATCCGTCAACACCCTCCCCCCCCAAAAAAAAAAAAAAAAAGTTGCCACTTTGAAGACTTTTAATCCGTTGGTCGTGGATTTATCTCGCTTATCATTCAATTTATTACACACAACTTATTTATAGAATTTAGAGACTACATATTTATGTAAATATATATTAATAGAAATAATTATTCAATAAAAATAAATAAAAATAAGACAAAAAACTAAAAATAAAAGTAAAGTAAAAATAAACACATTTATTAAATTTACATGCAAAATTAAAATTAAAAATTGTTAAAAAAAATGGAGACGAAAATTCAGTTCATGATTTATTGTTATAAACTAGGACGCGTTCAAGCGGAGAAAAATGAACGGTTTCCCACCGTGTGAGATTGGTAGCTTTAGAACAAAAATTTCATTGAGGGTCCCAATTAATATGATTGTATCGTATGCCAAAGCAGCGTGTGATATTTTGTGTAGTGTACTTTAATATTTTGAAAATGGTAATTCATATACACTAATAGTGTGTTTGGATGAGAAATTTATATAGGATAATTTATTTATTCAAAGAATTTTAAATTTTTTGAAATGAAATGCTTTGTTTGGACGAAGAATTTACAAAGAATTTGAAATCCAAGCATTTCTGAAATTCTTTAAAGTAGTAAAATTTCAAATTCTCCCAAAAATAGGAAAATTTGAAATTTTTCATATTTGTTTTTCTTCTTTCACCTATATATTTTATCTTATCTTTTCATTCTTTTAATTATTGGATATGCAAAAATATTTTTAAAATTATTAAATATTATATTATATTAATTTTTAAAATTATTAAATATTATCTAATATTAATTTTTAAAATTATTAAATATTTAAAAATGGATTAATATTTATTTTTATAAAATTTAATTTAAAAATCTCAATATATAAATATATTTTTAAAATCAATTTTACTATGATCGAATCAAATTATCATATTCAATCTAATAATTTAAAATTTAAGAAATTTAAATTGACTCATCCAAACAAAATATTTTAAGAATGATAAAAATTGAAATCAAAGTAATTCAAATACCAAGAATTTAAAATTTTTTGAATTTGTAAAACTCCTCGTCCAAACACACTATAAGACATATAATTGCTTTTGGCTTGGTCCTTATTTCATATAGCTACCATCATTGGATCGCAATTCTTATCCCAATAATTTTCAATGGAAATATTGCAGTTTTTTAATGTATGATGAATTTAAAAATATAAACATAATTATGTTTATTTTTATTAGTAAAATTACAATGATAATTAAAAAAAAGTTTGAGTCAAATATTTTGTACATATTAATCTAATTTTCTGTTATTAAGTTGACTTGACTGGTTGACACGATTATTTTATTTTTTATCAATAAAAATTATAATTATGGTAAAAAAATTTGAATATAAGATTTTGTGTTTATTAATCTAATTTCTTATTATTAAGTGACTCTAATCGATTAGTGATCTTTTTTATTTATTAACAACAAAAATATTTACATTGTACAATGCATAATAAATAACTATTATTTTAGTTCGTAGAATATACAAGATAAATGTTTATTTTATTTAACTATAACTTATAATAAATAATTTTAAGTATATAAATTATATTATAATTAAAATATAAATAATTATATTATAATATAATATTATTTTATTTATTGTAATTTATAAAAATTAAAATTCAATGTAAAACTAAAAGTAAATTAAAACAAATTGAATGATATCAAAAGAGAAAAATTTTGAAAAACACCCTCAGCCTTTTTTTTTTAGGTCATGATTTGTTAATATTATATGTTAAAGTTAGTAAATTATATTTAGGATTGATCTTAATATTTTGTTGTTTCAAGAGGATATAATAGATGAAGACCCTTAAATATTAGTATTTCTAATATAAACACATAATTTCAATAAAAATAATATTTTTTATATGATGTGAACAAGATTTTAATATTATCAAACTTGCAAATTTATAAAAATAGAGGACCAAAAGTACAATTTATTCTTACATAAATATTTGTTTTGAAATTATCTTAAAAATGATTAATAATACAATATAATTACAATTATAGTTTATAATCATATTTTTTTATATAGTTATAATTATAATTGAGTCTTAATCTCTTATACACTCATCTCTAGTTAAATTAGTTAAATTTATATTTTTTAAAAATGTTGAGCGTACAACTTTACCAACTTTAACATATAGTGCCAACTAATCATGATTAAAAAAAATCAGTTGATGACATTTTTAGAAATTCTTCTTTAGTTAAGATACGTATTGTAATATAATTATTTTTTGTTTTAATTATATTTAAAATTATTTATTATAAATTGTAAATATTCATCTTATGTATTGTATAGATTAAAACAATAGTTGTTTATTAAGTTAAAATTTAATACATTGTTTAGTGTAAATAATTATATCGTTAGTCAATAAAAATGATCATTGAACTATTAGTTTAGCTTAATAGTAAGGAAATAGACTAATATACACAAAGTTGTAAATGGAAACTTTTTTACCATTATAATAGTTTTTATTGATAAAAGAATAAAAATAATCGTTCAACCGTTCAAGTTGGCTTAATAATAGGGAATGAGATTAATATGCGAACATTTTTACCACCGTGATTATTACTGATAAATTTTTTTTTATTTTATATATTTTTGAAAGAACCGTAATTAACCTCTATTTTATTTTTTGTCTTCTTTTCCTTATATTTTTTGATAGCGTTGACGGAAGACCAATTAAGACGACATTTTAGTCCGGTCTAAAGCATTTTTGTTTTGTTTATTTAAGGTTGTGGCAGGTCCAGTTCTTTAAGCTGTAAGGAGTGATTTAAGGAACAGGAAGGTGGCTAGCTAGCTGCATTTGTGAAGGTTGGATTTACTTAATTATCTTTTTTAATTATTCTTTTACTTGTTCTGGGTTACTGAATTTTCATGTACTTATTCTTCATAACAACTTGTAGAGAAAGTTGTTCAATCTTTTCATTTCTAGATATCTTCTGCCTGCAGATAATTGTTTTTATAAAGTCGTAGAGAAGAAGAAATTAAGACCCAGAATATACTGAATATAATGCCATATTCTTCTCGTGATAACATCAAATATGTTGTATTTGTTTTTGTTTGGCTCTTGCTGGCAAAGGAAACAGCAGAAAACAACAATCCTTGGGATCCCAGTGACACCCCTCACATAAAGTACGATGTTTTTGTTAGCTTTAGAGGTGCAGACATTCGCCAAGATTTCCTTAGCCATTTGGTTGAGGCATTTTATCGAAACCAGATTGCTGCCTTTGTGGATTACAAGATTCTCAAAGGAGATGAACTTGCTGAAGCACTGCTTGGAGCAATTCAAGGATCACTCATTTCATTGGTTATATTTTCACAAAGATACCCCGCGTATACTCTCTCTCTCTCTCTCTCTCTCTCTCCAACTGCATTCTCTCTCGCTCCCCATTTCTCAGAAGGTGGGGGAGAGAGACCCCGGAGAAATTCAATTCAATTAACCTCTCTCTCTCTCTCTCTCTCTCTTCAGATTCACCTACCCTTTTCCTACTACTTCTCCAAACCCACGCGCATTTTTTGTCTTTTGCTTTCCCAGGGCCCAATCGCGAAAACCCTAGAAAACAGCAGATTTGGGGGCGCGTTCAATCTCGGACGGAGAACGAGAAAGCCAGGATTTTGAGACCGACCCGGTTCGATTGGAAGGGTTCAGATTCAAAGGGATCGTTTGATTTTGTCGGATATTCACCGGACAAGAAGGGGGTGGATGCGGAGAAACCCCCCTCTAAACTGGAAGCTCTAATCGTGGTTCAATTCAAATCGTTCTTCAAAATCCATGGGTTCGACGTTTTCTCCCTTGAGTTTCGTGATTTTCGGCATTACAATAAGCTTTTACGCGATTATTGTCCAATCCCAGTCGCAAAATAGGAACAGCGGCGATGAATCAGCATCACCGGCATTTATGACGTCCCCGCCACCTCCGCCGCCGCCACCAACACCTCCGCCGCCGCCGCCGTCTTCCTCGTCGAGTTCTTCGTCGGCACCATCACCGCGTTCTGATTCTGATTCATCCGGCTCCGTTCCCTCGCACGCATCGGCGCCGAGCCCTCACGTGAGAAGACCACGGCACCCTTTCCACCGCCACCAGCACCGCATCCGTTTATCGCCGCCGCCGCCGCCGC